TTAAATGAGGAAAACAATAGGGAACGTAGGAATGAAGAGCCAGAGAGGATTAAGAAGAAGGTCGATCAGGTTAGAAAGGATGAAGTCAGGAAAGCATTAAAAAGGATGAAGAGTGGGAAGGCGGTTGGTCCAGATGACATACCAGTGGAGGTATGGAAGTGCTTAGGGGAGGTGTCGGTTGATTTTCTGTCTAGGTTGTTTAATAGAATATTAGACACGAACAGGATTCCTGATGAGTGGAGGAAGAGTGTCCTGGTACCAATCTATAAGAAGGGCGATGTACAGAGTTGTAGCAACTACAGGGGGATAAAGTTGATGAGCCATACGATGAAGGTTTGGGAAAGAGTAGTTGAAGCCAGGTTGAGACAGGAAGTGGAGATTTGTGAACAGCAGTATGGTTTCATGCCGAGGAAGAGCACCACAGATGTAATATTTGCCCTGAGGATGCTGATGGAGAAGTACAGGGAAGGTAGGAAGGAGCTGCACTGTGTATTTGTAGATTTAGAGAAGGCTTATGACAGGGTGCCAAGAGAGGAATTGTGGTTCTGTATGAGGAAGTCAGGGGTTGCAGAGAAGTACGTTAGGTTGGTTCAGGACATGTATGAGAATAGTACAACAGTGGTGAGGTGTGCAGTTGGACGGACAGAAGACTTCAAGGTGGAGGTAGGACTGCATCAAGGATCGGCCCTGAGCCCCTTCTTGTTTGCTATGGTGATGGATAGATTGACAGATGAGGTCAGACAGGAGTCGCCCTGGACCATGATGTTTGCAGATGACATTGTGATCTTTAGTGAGAGTAGGCAGCTGCTACAAGAAAACCTAGAAAGGTGGAGGTCTGCACTGGAGAGAGGAGGAATGAAGGTCAGTCGTAGTAAGACAGAGTACATGTGCATAAATGAAAGGGAGACCAGTGGAACGGTGAGTTTACAGGGAGCAGAGGTGTCGAAGATACAGGAATTTAAGTACCTAGGATCAACAGTTGAGAGCAGCGGAGATTGTGGAAGGGAAGTGAAGACTAGCGTGCAGGCAGGATGGAACAGCTGGAGAAAAGTGTCAGGAGTGATTTGTGATAGAAGGGTGTCAGCTAAGGTGAAGGGAAAAGTTTACAGAACAGTTGTGAGACTAGCCATGATGTACGGTCTCGAGACACTAGCAATTGGCAAAAGACAGGAGGCAGAGTTGGAGGTGGCTGAGTTAAAGATGCTGAGATTCTCCTGAGGAGTGACAAGGATGGACAGGATCAGAAATGAGGTCATCAGAGGGACAACTCAGACAGGAAAGTTTGGAGAAAAAGTGAGAGAGGCCAGACTGAGATGGTTTGGACATGTACAGAGGAGGGACAGTGGATACATTGGTAGGAAAATGTTAGAGATGGAGCTACCAGGTAGGAGACAGAGAGGAAGGCCAAAGAGGAGATTCATGGATGCCGTGAGGGAAGACATGCAGGTAGTTGGAGTCAGAGTAGAGGATGCAGAGAACAGGGAAAGATGGAAAGTAATGACTCGCTGTGGCAACCCCTGAAAAGGGACAAGCCGAAAGGAGAAGAAGAGAAGAAGAAGAACCCCAGCGAGTCCCACGGACTCGCTGATCAGAAAAGTATGAGTCCCATTATGCATTTAGAGAGTCCCAAATTTCGAATTCTGAAATGGTCTACTTATTCAATTGCATATGATAACACAAACAACAATAATATACGTTGATAATATGTTTATTTCTTATAAACGAATGCTGCAAAAAATTAAATAATTTAGGCATACAAGATTTGCTGAGAAATAGGTTCTTATTTCATCCCATGGTTCAGTCTTTGAGTTCATAAATTCTCCTCTCTTTACTCTGCTTCCAATGATGCAAGGCTTTCTCAAAGTCAACTTATCGCAAAAAAAAAAAAACTATCCAATTTTAGCTGCTTCTAGCTGTGAAATCTCCGCAATAAACTTTCGCAACACCTGTTTTAACGTTACACAACTTGGCAATCGTCTGCTTTCCGCGAGGTGAAGGCCGATCTCGCCAATCTCGTCTCGCGAGAACGGAAATCTCCTCAAGCGGGTTGCTCACGGGGGTTGTGGGTAAAGCAGTGTCTATCCTAGGTGACTTCAAGCGAGAGGTGGAGTACACCTTGTACTGATTGCCACCCATCGTAGGGCACATATTAAAAAACTAAATAAATAAATAAACACCATTTACAATCATGTTCACACCCGAAGGACAATATAGAGTCTGCAAGTAACCTCACATTTCCAGCTCCGGCCTCCCTGTGTGGAGTTTGCATGTTCTCCCTGGGCTCGCGTGGATTTTCTCCGGGTAATCCGGTTTCCTCCCACATTCCAAAAACATGCATGGCAGGCTGATTGAACACTCTAAATTGTCCCTAGGTGTGAGTGTGAGCCTGAATGGTTGTTCGTTTCGTACCTGTGTGTTCCCTGCGATTGGATGGCAACCGGTTCAGGGTGTCCCCCGCCTACTGCCCGAAGACGGCTGGGATATGCTCCAGCACCCCCCGCAACCCGTGTGAGGATAAAGTGGATCGGAAAATGGATGGATGGATAGAAGTAACTGTTAGGTTTATGCTGACGCTAAGAATACATCAGGAACAGGAAGACTCAGGAGGCAGGCATGGTTGTCTTTCTTGCAAGAGAGAGCCCGCCAAAACAGGGGTCCCTTGATGTGTGTCACGCTTCACACACATCAAGCCACGCTTCTCCGTCACGTGACCGATTACTTCAAAACAAAACGCAGGAGCTCGCAAAATGAGTAAAAAAACTGCTTGAGATCGTAAATGACGGCGGCCTTAAAAGTACATTTGAGACAACTGGATTAAAGTTATGGCTGAATACTCTGAGATCGCCACAATAGCACTTTTGCTATTTCCGACATCCTACCTGTGTGAGGCGGGGGGTTTCTGCAGCAACGGTGACGAAAACAAAATTACGAAGTAGACTGGACATAAACCACACACTTGAGGTGTCATTGTCTCCTATTACCCTGAGATGGGACCGTCTGGTTGCAGAAAATCAAGCTCGGTGCTGTGGTGAGTCGTCATTTTCATGCACTTTGAATTTGCGTTGTATCGTATTTTGATGGCATTAAACATTGCCAGAGCGATCGGAGTGTTGCGGCCAGATTTGACGCTCCTTGTGTTTATTATTATATTTCGAAAACACCACAGTTTTCATGCAGCTCATACCATATTATTTTGTTGGATTATTTCCACCACACCTTAAATGCCGGTCCCTGAAAATATTGTCTGACATAAACCGGTCTGTGGGGCAAAAAAGGTTGGGGGCCCCTGCGCTAAAACATGTCTCGGTTCACAATCTCGGAGCAGCTCTTCAGCTGGCTCTGCCTTGTAAACCGTTACAGGTTCCGGGGCAACTCTGAAGAGACCGCGTTTGTCTCCTTGCATTTATTGGAAGGATGTCCCTGATACACGATCTTCTAATGGGTGTGGGGAGTATATGCAAATTTCACAACAGTTTCAGTAGAGGAGACTTTCAATGAGAACACACAGTTCATTCCTGAGGTGATCAGACGGCTCCTGCTGGAGGTCGGTGGTCCACGAACACAGCTTTGAATGTCCCTCACATTGTGTCCTGGGGTTGATGTTATCATCTCACAAGCAACATTTAATTTGATCAGAAGCCGTTTACTTCACAAAAGGACGTTGACTTAAAAGCCAGAACAGGAGCAGGCTGAGCTCTCCCGGGTCGACAGGTCTCCCATTATCAACCTACCCCATTGTAAATGAAGTATTTGCGAGGTCGCACTCTGGAACAAAGGTTTTGTAGTTACACTGAGAGTAAATATGGGATAACAGAATTACATTTATTCCAACAGTAACCTAACATGTGAATGTGTTTGTTTTTGGAATTGAGAGGAAGTCGGGGTACACACAGAAAATGATTCCTCTTGGTCTCTTAGTAATTTTTTAACTCAACAAAACCCTGTTGTGTGTAGACTAGGGATCTACCAATATCACTTTTGTCAGACAGTAGGAGTAGAAATACTGACATTTGAGTACTTGCCGATAAAGAGTACAATTGTCTTTACTGCCAGTGCGTCTTCCATATGTGATGAAAATGTGTTTTAGTTTCATGCAAACGTTTCTTGAACATGGCCCAAGTTTCACTCAAATGAAACACTTATTACTGACATTTAACATCTGCAGTAATTCCATGTTTTACTAACAATCTTGCTCCATGTCCTATATCACCTGCACAGCGATTATGTCAGGCTGCTAAAGTGGTACCGTTATTTTAGTATCGGCGATTTTTCCAAGTGTGAGTACAAGCATACAGCATCAGTTGTCGGTATTGATGAGTTCCTCGTGTCGATTTTATAACCATGGAAATCAATAGACTTGTCAGGATCAGAAATATCAGATACTCTGTTATCAGAGCAGGATTTCTCATACATGGACATGGTTTTCTGAATATTCAGGGTTTTTTTTTTTGTTTTGTTTTGTTTATCCTTCCAGAGCGCCATATTTACAGTCCTCAAGAATTTAGGCTTCTGGGATGCATACCGCTCAAAAAGATTAAAGCACATTTACCAAACCCATTGTGCGCGGATGTTTTTTTTTTTTTTTTTTTTTTGCACATATATTTGGAGCCTCTTATAAAAGCTTGTTTTATATTACCCTTGACTTGAAACACAGACTATCTTGGGAAATATCTCACTGAGCTCTCCCTCTGCAACCAGTCATATGAATTCATTTTAACGCCGACTCGTATGCGTCAAAATAACTCATGAACTGGATTATTCATCACAACCACTAACTTGTTTATTTTTGTACTTATATCATGTAAATAACAATAAACGTAGTTTTTCTTTCACATTAACTGCAAAAGTTAAGCCTAGTTGCAAATGTTAAGCCGACATTTTCCCCTCTTCCCTATTACTGATTGCAACCAACAATTATGATGAGTAAATATGCTCATTCAGAGTCATTCTAATATTTGTGTGACCATTGTGTCCCCCACTTGTTTTTGTGTGTGTTTCAGTGGAGAATGGGGAACATTGCGATTTTACCGTGTTGCGCAACATGTTAATCAGGTAAGAGTTGCAGCCACTCCACTTCACTGCTTAAAGTATATTTTCCCTTCAAGAAAAAGCCATTTTATAGTCTCACACACAATCTTCTCAACAAGCTCAGAACAGCACATGCCCAAATGCTTGAGAGTAAGTCAAACATGTCGAGTCCAGTTGTCTTTGATTCAGCTCTTGTTGCACAACACTAACCTGAATCACCGTGAAACTTCATCGAATACAACTTTGCTCCCCCAACCCTTTGCCCATCAACAGGACCCACATGCAGGATCTGAAGGATGTCACCAACAACGTCCACTATGAGAATTACCGCAGTAAGAAACTTGCCGCTGTCACCTGTAATGGAGTGGATAACACCAAGACCAAGGGACAACTTACTAAGTAGGCGCCATCACTTTTCTCAGACTAAAACATTGCTGATTCATGTGCCCACATAAGGTTATCATTTGTAAATGATATGCCACTTTGTAAATGACCCAGCCAGTGTCCCGCTTGCTTTCTCCCTATGTACACTTAACTGTTCAGAAAAGACACCGGCAGCTTATAATTACTACAACCATTGCGAATGGTGTGAAACTTCACATGACTGCGCATGCACCCGCATGGGTGTCGCATGACCAGGATCACGCATAGATGGTGGATATATACACATCAATAGTTAGATAATAGGTAGGTAGAGAATATCAAGGTTATATTTCAGTATATTCTCCAGTATGTACAGTACCTACCGACATAAACATCTCTCACTTTCTATGTGAGAGAGTGCAAGAACGAGAGTGAGGGAGAGAGAGAGAGGGGGAAAGAGAGAGAGAGAGAGAGAGACAGAGCGAGAGATCACATCATTTAAAGGCACAAGATGCCAATGTATTCCTGTGTGTGTGTGTGTGTGTGTGTGTGTGTGTGTGTGTGTGTGTGTGTGTGTGTGTGTGTGTGTGTGTGTGCGCGCGCATTCACATAATTCTCTCAAAACCACTTTATTTCTTTACCTTTCCTTCTATAATGTTTGTATAAAGTATATACTTACAATACAGTACTGTTTTCATTTGTTGTGTGGTTCTTTGTGTTAAGAACGGATTAATGGGATGTCCATTCATTTCTATGGGAAGGCTTGATTTGATATACAGGTAATATAATCTGCGTGCATGGAGATGGAACAAGTTCATCTCAGAAATCAAGGCATCACTGTTAATGTAAATATTTTCCTGTTCACTGTAGATATGAATATTCTATATGTGTGTAGACCAGAAATAAAGGCCCTTGTTGATATGTGCGAATGAATGTCAACTAAAGCAACTTTTAAGTTAAAAATGACTGATGCTATTTTGAACAGGAGTCCCTTGGCACAGATGGAAGAGGAGCGGAGGGAACATGTGATGAAAATGAAGAAGATGGAGGCGGAAATGGAACAAGTCTTTGAAATGAAGGTTAAGGAGAAGAAACAGAAACTGAAGGATTCAGAGGCTGAGGTACAAGTGTGTTTTTATACATCAGGCATCACCGACCTTTTGTAAAGTGAAAGTTACTTGGATCCTGATTAAGGCGAAGGGCTGCCAGTGTGATACACACTTATAAAATGAGAAATTTGCCCACGGGCACCACATTGGTGACCCCTACAATTCATCTTGTGTTACCTGAATAATCACCTTATTTGATTTCCATATGTTCTGAGCCTGTTTGCGGTTTTATATCTGTGTCTGCCGTTTCAACCTGCAGCTGGAGCGACGTCACGAACAAATGAAAAGGAACTTGGAGGCACAGTACAAAGAGCTTGAGGAGAAAAGACGAGTGTTTGAAGATGAGAAGGCCAACTGGGAGGCTCAGCAGAGAATCCTGGAGCAGCAGAAATTGGATGCCTCTAAGTAAGTAACAGACACCCACAAACAGCTTGAGCAAATGAAATGCTGCAGAATTTCTGTCGTAGTGTGGTGTCAACCAATCTAGTTATTGTGTATGTGGCGCAGACTCATTTTTTCCACATTGAAAAATATTCAGTTTGGTCCAAGCTCGGTTGTGCAACAGATCTCCGATAGGAGAGGTGGTGGCGGCATAATGTCAGAGTGAACATGAGCAGAAGATTTTGGCTGTCCAGTGAAAACAACACAGACAAAATGGAGGAAAAAAATAACGTCTTATCCCAAGCTCAGGGACATGAGACAAGAGCGGTCGGTGTTGATGCGGTAAAAAGAAGGCATAGCGATGAATGTAAAGGTATCAGGTTGCTTGACAGTGGTTGATGCCTTCGATTCGAGCATTTTGAACCCTGTTAATGTTCACATACCACACACTCTTTACGAGTATCACATCGTATTATGAGTGCATGGCTTTCTGTTGGAACAGTGACAAACGCATATTGCCAAATTGTGATCTACTTTATGTCCAAACAAGCATGAAATTGTAGCAGGCTACTGTATTTTCTGCACTTTAAGGCAACGGTACCCTTACATTACGGAATGTCTTTCCATATTTATTTGTCATGTCTTTGTTTATCATAGTCGCTTGTTATTGATGATACTAGTGTAGCCTCTACTACCGGAGACAAATTCCTTGTGTTTTCTACATACTTGGCCAATAAAGATGATTCTGATTCTGATTCACCAAAAAGGCACACAAACCTCGTGCGCTCACATTCACAAGGGGTTAAATGTCCTTTAAAAGTCTTGCTTGTCTCCTTCTTCCTTTGTTTTGTCAGTCGTTAACTATGCTTTTGGTATGGGCTTCGTTTCATAATGGCTGCGCAGAGCTCACAAGGTAGTTGTCTGTTTGAGTGTGTGTCGGTGAATGATTAGTGTCGGGCAGAACCCTTTTAGGTTACAATTGGTTCCTGCTAGTAATCACCACTCGATGGCATAGGAACACTAACAGGGAAACAACTCAATGGGGAACATAAAGAGTTTCAGGCTCTTTATATTACCATATTGGCCCAAATATAAGACGGCCCTTATTATAAGATGGCCCCCTCTTTTTCAAGACTCAAGTTTGAAAAAAGACTTTTTGAACACCAAATTAATTTTTATACAGAAAATAATTACAGTACATCTGAAACAAATGATGATAACAATATATTTGAGAGAAAAAGCATGTTATTTTGCCTCATTCAAATTGTAATATCTGAACATTTTAAATATGTAAACTAAAGTGCCCTCACATACGTAAATGAATGGCTTCTGGTTTTTGAAATGTAAATTACATCATAACTTCTCAGCTGCCGGTTAACCTGGCCGATCTTTGACCCACTTTTCTCCAGATTGTCGCTACGTTTCTCCATTTTCTGTTATCTCTTCTATTATTTTCTTCTCTTTTCTTTCTTCCCGCTATTTTTTACTTTTCATCTTCATGCTACCGCTATTTTTATTTTTATTCTTCGTGACAGGGGTTCACTTTGGCCTGGGGAGTCAAGTTCAGCATTCGCTTCAATGATATCTGGCGCCATCTAGCGTCGTGAATGAGTATAACGTCTAGACCCTGAATATAATACGACCCCTACTTTTTCAGTTTTATTTCAATGCAAAAAAAACACCGTCTTATATTCGGCCAATACGGTAGTTTTCAAAAATGTCGTGTATATTGAAATTCATTCTTTCAATTTCAGTGACTACCCAGCTCAACAAAAACCGGCAGCTCAACAAAATCAAGCGTCAGTTGATGACACAAATGTTTTGAGAGCAGCTCTAAAACAACCATTAGTAACTTTAGAGATGGCTTTAGGAATCAAAGTATGGAAGTTACCCCAGAATATGCAAAATCAGTCATGAGCAAAGACTAGAAAGGCCAGGCTGGAATTTGCCATTAAGCAAAGGAAAGCCAAAGCAATTTTGTAAGGGGGAAAAAAAATCTGTCAAACTACGTCTACGTAAAACCAATCCATGGGCAAGACATCGAGAAGGCACCTTCTTTTTGATGGACTTATGACCACGCATTCAGTCATTAGTGCAGTATTCGGATTGAATTACTTTGATCGGATTTAGTTCATGAACATGCACAGTCCAGACCACACACGTCCTGCTTCACGAGGCAATTTCAGATTTCAATGGGGCTTTAATTGAGAAGTGCAGGTACGAGCTGTGGATTGTGGCCCTTTTCTAATCCACCTTTCTTGTTTCCTCAACTAGGACCATGGAGAAGAACAAGAAGAAAGGAAAAATCTTTTGAAGAATTGACGTCTCCTCTTAAGTACCAGCTGTGGCCCGAAAATGCTTTTTTTTTTTTGCTCTCTCTCTCTCTCTCTCTCTCTCTCTCTCTCTCTCTCTCTCTCTCTCTCTCTCTCTTTCTCTCACACACACACACACTGTTACGAAGATAACATTGCATTTTCTTTGTCATTTCAAATTCAACATGTTTATTATATACAGTCACACAAAATGTTTCAATGAACATCTGTGATTTCAATGTGTTTGTAGACCTGTGATCCCCCTTATTTGTCCTGAAAAAGAGGAGACGCCTGAGTTCCTCTGAGCTGCAATCTAGCGTTAACGCATGGTGAGGACCATCCATTTATACACATATATTAGTGTTATGTTAGTCTTGTGTTCTCGATATTCTTGGATTCCACTCTACTACACTCTTTGTAACTGAATAGATGCTCGAGCACTAATTATCTTTGGGAGGATCTTGGGATCCAAGTATTGGACCGCCTTTCGTTTAAAAAAAAAGAGAGAGAGAGAGACAGACAGAGAGAGAGGGAGAGACTATGAAGCATCTTGAAGCACTGCAGTTTGCTTTTTTTTTCCCTCAGTTTGGACAAAATTGTGACATTTTTAAACAATTTGGAATGATGTCAAACTGTAACATTAGTATTACTAATGCATTTCTTAAGTGCTACAAATGAAATCAACTGACTCGGGACACCAACAAAAGTTAGTTTGTGGGGGACGAGTACCATTAGAAACTAGGCATTGAACTGAAGCCAATTCCTTTTCTAAAACATGTCTGAAGTCGTGTCGTCCAATAAAAGAGGAAGAACTCGACAACCATCAGCGTCTCAACATGTCATCCATTTGAGACCTTGTTGGTGGGTTTCATGTTTCTTGTCCGAGTTGCTTTTGGTAACCGTCACTTAGTAAACAGACGTGCTCATAAATCATTACACCTGCATTCGTTTCTTTCTTCTCAATGGCGAAAACTGCAGGCCGTCTGGGAGGTGAAATCATGTTTACCAAAGAATTTAAGAAGAAGAAAAATGGAATTACTCCCCACCCCTTTGCAACATTCTATGCTTTTACATAATTAGGTCTATAGCTTTTTGTGTTTGAGTAAATTGTGTGTTTGAAGGTGTCGACAGAGCTCAAAGCGGGGCCAGAAGGATCTGGAACTGCAGTCAGTTTTCCTTGCGGTGTGTGTTTGCTAGTTGAACTGAAGATATTATGCAAAAGCCTCATCGGTGTCAATATAGAGTTAACAGATAACCGTGATTACTAAAAGAGGGGAGAAATAAAAGTTTTATATTGTGATGTAACTGATGAGTGTTGAACCAGAGTTTGGCAGGCGTTTTCCCTTGTGGTAAAATAACAGAACTGGACAAGTCGTAAAGAATTCCTTCAAGTTTTCCTCCCCATAAAATAGCCTTCCAACGGATAGAATATAAAAATGCTTCCACGTTAACCAACAAAGGCTTGCTTGTCTAATAGAATATTGTAAGTTCAGGCCAGAGGGCAACACTTTGAACCTTTACTATTTCTTACCCAGAGTTGTCATGGTTTATTTTCTTACGACAGTGAATATGAGGAATCTGGAGGAAGGACAGCTCGCGCGTCGTTTTCTTGAGCCTCGTATGAATCCTACTCTTACTCCAGGTTGCATGAAAGTGTTGTTTTCGGTGCATTCAAACCAGATGCTAAAGGGACGAACCCGAGAGCTTTGCATTTTGCTTCTGGCTGCGATAGATAACATATATTGTGTATGTTCTGTGGAGGCCGTTCAGTTGCCTTTTCTTTTTTGTGACGTTTGTTTGGCTGATTTGTTTTCAAGATTTTTTTTTTTTTAATGACAGAAATAACCACTGAACATGTTAATTTTCAGTCAGTGAAGAACTAATTGTAATACGGTTGTAACACATTTGAATTCATCAATTCCAAGACCTCTCTATGATGACTGATTTTCACAAAAGTTGATATTTCTGTTGATTCTCAAAATGTTACAATTTGCTGGCTCTTCTGGTTACTGCATTTTTTTTTTTTTTTACTTTTTGTTTGTTTTCTCCGAGCTTGTTTTATCTGGTCTGTCTGTTACTGTACATTGACAATATTAAAATTGACAAAAGTTTTAACCCCTACTCGTCCAAAGTATCGTTTTTGAACAACCTTTACAATGTATCTTTTACAGCGTGTTTTAATGCCCTCATTTGTAGTGTATAGATACATAGATACCTTATTAATCCCGAGGGAAATTACACATTGATCTGTTGCTCACACTCACACAAAAGCAGTCCCATTATAAATAGAATCAAATTCAAAAGATGGATTAAATTAAAAATGAAATCAGGGCATTGTTAAACATGCACCCATCCATCCATCTTCTGATCCGCTTAATCCTCACAAGGGTCGCGGAGCGTGCGAGAGCCTATCCCAGCTGTTTTCGGGCAGTAGGCGGGGGACACCCTGAACCGTTTGCCAGCCAATCGCAGGCATTGTTAAACAATGGAGAAACAATGTTAGGACAGCATGCTGTCCTGCGTCTTCTGGACGGGACAAACGAGACACTAAGTCTTTCAGGAGAGACCCCCAGTGAGCGGAACCTGGAGCTCACATAACTCCTCCGTCAGGAGAAGATGGGGTACAAAGGGTGGCTCTTATTGGACAGGATGACCCTCATTTTGGAGAGTGTTCTCTTCTCCAGCACTTTCTCCATGAGTCCAAACCCAGACAGACTACTGCGCATGCCTTCGTAATGAGCTTGTTCGGCCGCCGAGTGTGCTCTCTTCTAATACTGCCCCCCTCCAACACACAACAGCATAAAACAGGACACTGTGTCATGATTCCGTTTTGTTTTGTCTCCAGCAGGTGGCAGTGGAGGGCTCATCCTCCCATTCCGCACTTGTTCCTCATCATGTCATGATCTGTCACCTGTTTGAAGAGATTGTCAAGCCGTCACCGGTTGTCTGATAATTCGTCTTGCTCTCGTCCAAGTGCGTAATTCGAGACATTTGTCGCTCCCGTTCCTGGCCTTGTCATATTCTGGTTTGTTTTTCTTGTTTTCTTCGTTTGTTTTTGATATTGCTATCCTCGGTGCATGATATTTATTGATTGGCCTTGCCCCGTCGTTTTTGGATAAGTGATTTTGCGTTAGTTATTTCTCCTGCCTTTCGCAAGCTCTTTTTGTTAGTAGTGTTATTTTACCCTTGGTTGCGCCCAGAGATTTCTGTTGTCCTTTGTCGGTCTTGCAACCTTATTTTGTAAATAAGCCTTTTGTACTCAATCTTATCCTCGTCTGCGTTTGTGGGATCAGCTCTCGTTCCAGAACCAACACACTGGACACAATAGTTGGATGTAAAAAAATAAAAATAAAAAAAAGCTCAGGGTGGACCCTGGAGGAGGCCAACCAGGAAGACCATTCTGTTCTACCGCTTCCAAAATAGCTGCCCATCTCAGCTTGCTGTCCAGCTGCTTGTATGTGGAGACCACCTCCACATCTGATCCCTCAATGGTGATGGGCTGCAGGGTGGGATGTGCCCGGCGAAAGTCAAATACAACCTCCCTTGTTTTTGCAACGTATCGGAGGTAATTCTGCTGGCACCGCTCCACAGAATCAGCGACCAGGCCACGAGATTCACTCTCATTACTCCCCCTAATAAATGCCACCATTGCAGAGTTGTCTGAGAACTTCTGCATATGACGTATCTGAGTTGTAGCGGAAATCTGATGTGTTGAGTGTGAAGAGGAGGGGCGAGAGCACCATACCTTGTGGTGCGCCGATTGAGAAAATCAGTGTAGAGGATGAAGTGTGTATTCTGCCCATGTTTGAACATGCTGTACAACTATCCTATGTCAGCATGGGAACACACACACCCTGCCTCCTCTCCTCATGCCTGCAAGTAGACCTTTTCACCCTTGAATCATCAATCACTTGATTGAATCATCAATCACTTGATGATATCAGTACTTCCTTAGTGGAGACCTTGTGGAGACACACAGACCTTCAGAAAGCACCAGTTGATACAAGCTGATTAGTTTAGGAGAAACAGAGTTCCGATGCCACGTCATAAGTTTCGTTACCGCCCCTCTGACGATATAAATGTGTTGTGAATCTCTTACACCTTCGCACTCGTGATCCGCAGCCATTGTCTGTAAACCGCGGGTGCCCGGAATATTTTGCAAATAAAACCTTCGAAGGTACTGTTCATCGTCTCCAGCCTGTATTTGGATAACCAACATCATCATCGTCCGAAATTAACGAACACGCGGAGGAAGAGTAAGGCCGACTCTCTCCCCGCAACAAGGACAAACACCCCCACTGCCTCTACTCAAACAGACTATGTCGGTCAAATAATCTGTAATCCAGTGCACAAGATGGTGGTACACAACGATGTTGTTAAGTCTCTCCTGGAGAAGGCTCGGATGGATAGTATTAAAAGCAGTGCAGAAGTCAAAAATTTGTATTCTCACCATACAACCACCCGCATCCAGGTATGTGAGGGCACGATGTAAAAGGTAGATTGCATCATCAACAGCCATCCTCTCTTGGTAGGCAAATTGTAGAGTGCCCCTCACTGCCTGCACAAAAGGTCGAAGAAGCTGCAGGACCAGACTCTCTTGAACAGAAATCGCTGGTCATCAGGTACCAGGAAAAACAAGGCATATAAAAAAGCTCCTGCAAAAGGCAAGGTAATAGTAACACCGAGAATATACATGAAATGGCAAGCATCCAATTACACAAAAACAAAATAAGAGCAAGATCAAAGACAAAATAATATCAATACTTACTGCTGAGGAAGTAGATGCAAAAGTGACAAGAGCGAGAGGTCCAGAAAACAACACTTGAGCACGAGCAGCAGCAAGGTCAATTATCCGACAAGAGACATGGGATCTTGGCAGTCCTTAACCCTGGAGAACCCAAGAACCGTTTTCTTCTTTGGAAAATGATGAATTTTACATTAAATGCTTGCTATGTGTTCAATGAACACCAAAATATGTTTTTTCAAATATTTAATGCTTTAATCCTAATTTAAGATTAGGGCCAAATTTGACCCTTTGGGATTTAAGGGTAGCATTTGAGTAGCAGAATTTATAGGGGTCAAATTTGACCCTGTGGGTTCTCCAGGGTTAAATACATGGCTGAATCATGATGATCACATCACGTTGGCATCAGGTATGTACGATGGAAAAGAAGCCTTCCACTGACACCTGCTGGAGAAACAAAAGAACAGGATCATTACATTGAAATGCATGGCTTCACATGTAATTTTATTTCCATCCATCCATTTTCCGACCCGCCTTATCCTCACAAGAGTCGTGTGGGGTGCTGGAACCTGTCTCAGCCGTCTTCGGGCAGTAGGGGCGGGGGGTGGGGGCACCCTGAACCGGTTGCCAGGCAATCGCAGGGCACACACAGACAACAACCGCCTCACAGTGCAGAGGGCGTGGGGTCAATTCCGGCTCCGGCCTTCCTGTGTGGAGTTTGCATGTTCTCCCCGTGCCTGCGTGAGTTTTCTCCGGGTCCTCCGGTTTCCTCCCACATACCAAAAGCATGTATGGTAGGTTAATGGAACACTCTAAATTGTCCCGAGGTGTGACTGTGAGCGCGAATGGTTCGTCTCTGTGTGCCCTGCGGTTGGCTGGGAACCAGTTCAGGGTGTACCCCGCCTCCTGCCCGAAGACAGCTGGAATTGGCTCCAGCACACCCCGCGACCCGTGTGAGGATAAGCAGATCAAAAAATGGATGGATGGATCGACTCTTAATAATGTCATTATTGTATGTTATTAATGATTAATAATATTAATTTATCTCAACGCACTGATCATGTTAATGATTTTTCACAATGATTAGGAAACAGATAAACATCAATATGCAACACTTTATTTCTTTAAATCTCGGCCAGTTTTTACATTTTCATATGATGACGTCTACAACATTCCTAGAAAATCACAATGTCCCATCACTGGTGAGCTATTTTTAGGACAGACCCATGAGCTATTTGTGTTGTCTTTGTGGGGTTATCTGGGCCAGTTGGCACCACGTTGCTGTGGGTAGGCTGTTCGATTAATCACAAACAAGGTGTGTGGATGTATGGTTTCGCCCCAAAAACAGAAAGCTGACGTCTGTTGGAGGTACAATCAATATCGATGAAATGTTAATTAAACTAAATCTACCGCCATGAATTTTTAAACATATGAATAATGAATTGATTGTCTATGTCAATAATAAAAGGGGGTTGATCACCACTGCACACCCGTCCTTGGTCAAAAGTCCTAATGATCATAGTTCACTAGCTGGCCACATTTTCAATGATAATATCAGATGAAGATAAAATACATTGTTTGTGACTTTTAGAAAATATCGTGTTCATTTTGGAAATTATCGACTGCGTTGCCTTGCATAGGAACCATAATTCCGATTCGTTATATTATTCTCGTACAGAGTGCTTAGTAACCAATAGAACACAAGAGACATTTTGGAGTGATTGGGTTGCCAACCAATGGCATTACTGTTACTGCCTGAGCGACCAACCCCTCGTTTGCTGTGGGGGAAGGGATCGATGCTATTGACTGGACGGCAACGCCATCTTGAAAAGTGTCCTCCATTGCCAACTATTTCACGTTGGCCACATCTAGTCAGTTTTAAATGTTTGATTTCTCCGTCACATTTTATATGTATTTGTGTTTGGAACCGATTATTGCTTTTGGACAATTGGAAAGATATTCATGCTGGAGACTCGCCGGTCTCAAATTTGTTGGTAGGTACTCTGGCTACAGGAACGACTTGTCAGCAGTGATTCTACTGCCGGCGAACATAAGATGCGCATGCATGTTACTACTATATGTTAATAATCAAGCAATATTATTGACGCATTGATAAAAAAGGTGAACTTAGTGGCTATGGCTGGCGGAGGCGATGGTCAAATTGCATTGTTAATGAATGGCATCGTTGTTGCTACTTTGACAGGTGTGTTTTAGGCTCAAGCAACGCATGTTTGTTGCAATGCGAAATCACATTTTGCATAACCGTTACGTAGCTTCCGCCCAAATAACAGCATGATGGTCATTCTGGAGTGGGGAGCTGTAGCCCCCGAGCCCGCTGCTAATTACTACTGCACAATTTCCAAACCTTGACGAGTGAACCTGCTTGTCGCATTTTTCATGTGGCTGGTTTTCTGCTGCCGTAGAAAAGTATCTTTGACCACCACTTCCTTGTGTTTCACAGTAGCTGCGGAAGTTGACATTATTTCAACAACAAACCGTGACACTTCTCATTATCTGTGGAGATTGGATTCTGACGGACGTTATTTGTTTGTCAATGGAAAAAAAGACCTGCTTTCTCTGCCTGAGCAGTTCATTCCACCCCTTAAAATTTTTTTTAGCCCACTCCATGTGAAGCAAAACATTGAAACACTGAAATATCAACTATACATTTTTTTATCAGTCATATATATTTTTGGATCAATGCATGTGTGCTGATTGCTTGTCATGGTCAATGATGGTTTCTTTTTTTGGACTCAGAACAGAGATGTGCAAGTCAAGTATAATGCTACTAGAAAAGCACAGCAAAAATGAAATGCAAAATTGAAATGATGCCACTTCTTTCGCCTGAACGATTTGGCAAAATTATATAATTTTATAGGGCGGCCCGGTAGTCGAGTGGTTAGCATGTCGACTTCACAGTGCAGAGGTACTGGACCGGGTTCAATTCCAGCTGCGGCCTTCCTGTGTGGAGTTTGCATGTTCTCCCCGGGCTTATGTGGGTTTTCTACGGGTCTTCCGGTTTCCTCCCACATTCCAAAAACATGCATGGCAGGCTGATTGAACACTCCAAATTGTTCCTAGGTGTGAGTATGAGCGTGAATGGTTGTTCGTTTCTGTGTGCCCTGCGATTGGCTGGCAACCAGTTCAGGGTGTCCCCCACCTACTGCCCGAAGACAGCTGGGATAGGCTCCAACACCCCCCAGGACCCTAGTGAGGATTTAGCGGTTCGGAAAATGAATGAATGACTGAATATATTTTATAAACACACACACACACACACACACACACACACACACACACACGCACCACCCTAACTTCACTATCAGCACAAATTTCTTGAAGGAATGGGATGAAATAAATGCATTTTTGCTTTTTTTAATATAAAATATATTGATTTTTAAATTGACGAGTCATGTCATTGGCCTTTGCACCGTGCTGCACTTTTTTTGTGCATCAGGTTAAAACCTTCCCGAGCTAATGACTTGAACCAGATATAGAGGCCAGAAAAGGTCAAAGATTAGATATTAAGTTTTGTAGTGTGAATATAAACTGAGCATGTGAAAAAAAGTAACACTGTAATTCAGTCATATTTTCATAGAAGTTTATATTCATATCAGTCAATTAGAGTTGATAATTTACGAAACGTTTTGACTTGCACTGTTTTACGTGTTCACTAAAACAACGTCACAAAATTAGTTATTGTCTTTCGAGAGAAAATCATCCTCGCTGAGCGAACCGCAAATGTGGGATGAATTAAGCTCCGACACAGCATATGTCAGCAACGACGAGTGGCCTACATGCTTAAAAGTAGATTAATATATCCATCCATCCATTTTCTGATCCGCTTATCCTCACAAGGGTCGCGGAGGGTGCTGGAGCCTATCCCAGCCGTCTTCGGGCAGTAGGTGGGGGACACCCTGAACCGGTTGCCAGCCAATTGCAGGGCACACAGAGACGAACACCCATCCGTGCTCACACTCACACCTAGGGACGATTTAGAGTGTCCAATCAGCCTGCCATGCATGTTTTTGGAATGGGGGAGGAAACCGGAGTACCCAGAGAAAACTCACACAAGCCCGAGGAGAACATGCAAACTCCACACAGGGAGACCGGAGCTGGAATTGAACCTGGTACCTCTGCGCTGTGAGGTTGATGCGCTAACCACTGGATCACCGGGCCGTTAGATTAATATAGTATAAAATATTTATAATTTCATGTTATTTGAGAGCGATTTGGTGGGTGACTGGTGAGCACAATACCACTTTCACATCCCGGGGGTGAGTTTGACTTTATTTTATTGCTGGCCTCTCACAGCAGCGTACAAAGGGAGTTTGTGCTAGCAGCTTGTTGACAAGTGGATCGAATTAAAGTTGGTCTAGAGCAGGGGTCGGCAACCCAAAATGTTGAAAGAGCCAAATTGGAGCAAAAAAACAAATATTTCTGGAGCCACAAAAAAATATAAGCCTAACAATAAAGGCAACACACACTGTACGTATCTATATTAGCTATATTGACCTACTATCAAAATGACCAAATTGGTTACAAATATACAATGAGCCTTCATAATTAAATTTTTTTTTTTCCCCTGCAGTGCTTCCTGTAGAAAATGAAGCAACAGGTGAACTACTCTGTTGTATGATGCCGCCACAAGTATAACTTCATTACAATATTAATGAATTATGTTTCATTGCTTTGATGAAATTCAAGAAACAAAATCCAGTTTTGGATGTCATTTTTATTTTGAGGATTCGAAAAAACATCGATAAAATAGAAAGTGCATAACGTGCCCATTATCTGGACAACACACAGAGTACGTACATTAAAATGCATCCTGCATTCAAAAAATAAAACAGCAGTCTTTTGAAAAAGTAAAGTTTATAAAATCAAATACATGTAAGTTTGACTTACTTGCAAATGCCAAGGAAGTCAGTGCAAGGGTAAAACACAGCAGCATCCTCTTCTCGTTTGACACGCAACCAACGCAGCTGTCCTTGGACCTGAGCAACAAAACACAATAATATCCCTAAGGGTCATTTGAAATATATACTGACAAAAATCAGAAAGCACTTTACAAAAACAGCCACTTTGTTACTAAATATGTGCGCATGACAGGATTGTGTTCTTACCCTTTTAATGTGACTTTTGTTTTCGGACATCACTGGTCAGTTTCTCAACATTGGGCATGTAAGATGTAACTTTAATTTTTACGCAGGACTGCAAGGTCTCATCTGTGAGGCAAGTGCGATATTTTGATTTGATGTAGTTCATGTTTGACTTTTTTTTTTTTTTTTTTTTTAAACAACAGCCACCTGCCTGGTATCCCACCCTGCTAATAGAAATGCGTGTCGCAGGCTGTGACGCAAATCTTGGTTGACAGAAATGTTGAAATGTAATATTTATTCTGCACATTTTTATTGCATTGGAAAACTTTAAGACTATTTGTGTCATGTCTGTCCTCCCACAGAAACCTTATTAAAACAAAAAATATATTTCCCTCCCCCATCTTTTTCCATTTTCAAACATTTTTCAAAAAGCTCCAGGGAGCCACTAAGGCAGCGCTAAAGAGCCGCATGCGGCTCTAGAGCCATGGGTTGCGGACCCCCGCTCTAGAGGGATAATCCGTTCAGGAAATAGATGGATGAATGGTTGTAAGAACACCCTGGGTTCTAAGTTATTTTAAATGAAAAGTTGATGCTGCGTTGCCGTTAGCACATCGGTATGATTTCCACAAAATGAATTTGCGGCTTGGTTAAGCACTTGGGACAGCACATGGTATACATAAAGCATGATAAAAGTGCACTTCATTTACCACTTACTATTATGATTTTTTTGGAGGGCAATGGGGGAGGACGATGATGTGTGTTTTGGCAAAAGTGCAATTAGAAACCCACTCAAACTGATTCAAGATTCGGTGGTTAAAATGTAAGCAAACATCGATTGCGAATTTGAGCTACGAGTCCAGCTTATACTAGAGAGACTCGTGATGCAAACTACAAAATAAGTCTAAAATTAGTGACGGTATTACCGTACACCCTGATATAATGAGGAGATTGGAATAGCCACCAACCTTTGTAGGTTTGTCACCTCAAACATTCTTTAAACATTAAAATAGAACATCAAAATGACCAAATTGGTTACAAATATACAATGAGCCTTCATAATTAAATTTTTTTTTTTCCCCTGCAGTGCTTCCTGTAGAAAATGAAGCAACAGGTGAACTACTCTGTTGTATGATGCCGCCACAAGTATAACTTCATTACAATATTAATGAATTATGTTTCATTGCTTTGATGAAATTCAAGAAACAAAATCCAGTTTTGGATGTCATTTTTATTTTGAGGATTCGAAAAAACATCAATAAAATAGAAAGTGCATAACGTGCCCATTATCTGGACAACACACAGAGTACGTACATTAAAATGCATCCTGCATTCAAAAAATAAAACAGCAGTCTTTTGAAAAAGTAAAGTTTATAAAATCAAATACATGTAAGTTTGACTTACTTGCAAATGCCAAGGAAGTCAGTGCAAGGGTAAAACACAGCAGCATCCTCTTCTCGTTTGACACGCAACCAACGCAGCTGTCCTTGGACCTGAGCAACAAAACACAATAATATCCCTAAGGGTCATTTGAAATATATACTGACAAAAATCAGAAAGCACTTTACAAAAACAGCCACTTTGTTACTAAATATGTGCGCATGACAGGATTGTGTTCTTACCCTTTTAATGTGACTTTTGTTTTCGGACATCACTGGTCAGTTTCTCAACATTGGGCATGTAAGATGTAACTTTAATTTTTACGCAGGACTGCAAGGTCTCATCTGTGAGGCAAGTGCGATATTTTGATTTGATGTAGTTCATGTTTGACATTTTTTTTTTTTTTTTTTAAACAACAGCCACCTGCCTGGTATCCCACCCTGCTAATAGAAATGCGTGTCGCAGGCTGTGACGCAAATCTTGGTTGACAGAAATGTTGAAATGTAATATTTATT